TTTAATGGATGAGTTGAGGCCATTGACATTCAGAGTTATTACCATGATCTGCGAATTTGTGTTGGGTGTTTTCCTATCTCCCTTGATATCAATGTACTGTTTTTGTGTGTGTGGCTTCATTTTGGCCTTCTTTTCCTTGTGAAACCATCTTACCAGCATGTTGGCTTTTGGATGCAGTTGGACTTTATGGTGGTATCCTGCTTGTGCTACCTGCTTGTCGGTCTTCTGAGCATAGTGAGTCGGCAAGGTATTCCGCAGGATTGAGTGTCTTATGGCATGTTCTTTGAGTTTTTCCTGTCCGGGAAGGCTCTCTCCTCACCATATATCTTAATAAATAGTTTGGCAGGGTAGAGGATTCTTGGGTTGGCATTTTTTTCTTTGAATTTCAGAAGATGTTACTCCACTCTCTCCTCCTCTTCATGGTATCTGCTGATAGATGTGAGCATATGCTTACCTGAGCATCATTGTCTGTGATCTCCTTATTTTCTCTTGCTGTTCTTAAAAATTTCTCTTTTGTCTCAATGTTGGATTATGTAACTGTATGCCTTGCTGAGTTCTTCCTGTGGTTTAGTTTAATTGATGTCCTTTCTGCTTCCTGTATGAAGGTCTGATTCTCATTCATTAAGGTGGGGAAGTTAGCTTCCAGAAAATTCTTCGCTAATTTAGCTGTTGACCTCTTTGTTGTGTCTCGTTCTGGTAAACCAATTATTCAAGTATTGTTCTTCATAATATCTGTCATTGATCTCAGGTTTTCTTCTGCCTCTTTGATTATCTTACCTGACTGTCTTTCTTATTTGTTGAAATCTGCCAGATTGTCCTTAAAATCACTGATACTGTTCTCTGCCTCTTCTAATTCTGTTGTGAGACCCATGATCTTGTGGTTTGCTCTTGTTACCTCATCCGTTTAGCTCATGTATTTCCCTTTGGTGCGTGGACTTCATCCTATCTATCATGGATTTCATCCCCTTCATTGTGGAATTCATCTCCTCTATCATTGTTTCCTTGTTTGCATTGCTGCCCTCTGATCCATGCAGCCTTCTGATGATTTCTTTTTTGTGGCAAATCCATGTCTGATTCATCTATGAGTGTCATTAGCTCCGCTGTTGAGTTTTGTCTTTCTTGTTTTCTTGTTGAGGGTCTTGCGGTATGTTGCTGTTAGCATATCATTTTGGAAGAACTGTGCGGCATGCTTCGGGGAGATGAACACCCCTGAGTACTTTCTCTGTGATATTTGTAAGACTGTTTTTTTTTTGGACTACCTTTGGCCTACTATCGTGGTGGGTCAGACTGCTATGTAGGCAGGGTGCTGCAGTGACTTAGTGGCCGAAGGTGGTGGGGGGCCCAAGAGTTTAGGCTGAAGTTGGTGACTGTAAGTACGCCAGTGGGCCGAATTGGGGCAGTTCTGCAGCGTGGACGAGGGTCTGGTCTGGACGGTCAGGTCACAATATGCAGCCTTTCAAAGACACTCTGTTGAGCCCCAAATTTTGTTGTTAAAAACCCTAGGCTGTGCTCCCGAGATTAGCATTCTACCTACTTTGTTATGTTAATGGATTCTTATGGACAGTGTTCTACAGGCATACATTCACAGTTACACAAAAGACCACAGCCTGATTTTTCCCCCTTTTTATAATGAGCTTTTGGGTACCCTGGTATCATGGCTGTGCTGCACTGTCTCCCAGGGAATGGGGATCAGCTTAGTGAGGTGGGTTTGGGGATGATTGGGTCTGAAATTGCCTCCAGTTGCCCTCCTGTGCCCCTCCTGGCTCTGTTCTATTGGCACTGCCAGTTGTTCTCTGTGGAGATGTGTTCTGTCATGGGTAAATATACCAGCGACTCTTCAATTTCTGCAAATTCTTTTCTAATGGTCTATTGTTACCCACACTGACAGGCATGGAGCTAGGGTGAGGCAGGAAGGGGATGCCCGATGTAGTTACTCTTACTGGTTGGGAAGAGGATTTGCCAAGCCCTAGACTGTAGGCGCAGAGCGGATAGCAGCACAGTAATCTCCAGTGTGAGGTTTTGTGGCTAACTCTCAGAGGCTCTCTGCGAGTTTGGGATTTTGACCACTTTTAGATAGCAGTCTGGGGAAATTACTGCTCACCGCAGGACTAGAGAGCAGGAAGGCGGTGGCAGATGTCATCCTGCTGGACAAGGCAAGAGATTAGCAGAGCCCGCAGGCAGACACAGTGAACTTTGAGCATTTCTGCAAATTCTCAAATCGTTTCATCAGTGAAAATCAGAAGGGGAAGTCTGAACTGGACCTTAGTACACTGACTATTTTTAGCACCCAACCTCCCAGTATTGGCCTTATCTCTTAATTTTCTGGTCTGACAGGCGGAGACCTGGTGGGTGATTGTATCTGGCCAATATCAGCTTTCTTCACCACACTTGCTTATGCATCCATTTTTGTCTTCGGTGATTGTGTTGGGAGGGTGAGCATCACAGAATGCCAGTTTGTAAGAACAAAATGTCCTTGTGTTGAGGGAGGGCTTGAACAGAGACCCAAAATCAGCCCACTTCCTCAGTGTATTGCCATATAAATATATGTACATAAGGCAATACTCTTCTTATGAATTGATATATTTACAAATGTGCATATTTATATTTATACCTCTATCCACAGCTTTGCTTCCTAGATCTTTCCTGTTTTACCTTCCTCCTTCCCCACTATCATGCTTGCCCTTCTTCTACCTCTTAGTAATTTCTCTCAGCTAGATTGCTAAAACTGTAACTGCTTTATAGGAGTAGAAAGCCCTGTCTCCTGCAATGAATTACTAGGTATACATTTTTAATACATGATTATGTAACTTTTATGAATGAAAAAAATTAAGGTACCAATGAAATATACAAGAAGCTATATGCTGTTGGTAGTGCTAATGATAAATGAGCTTAAGCTATATTTTTATGTTATGATTATATGTATTTCATTGACAATTCTTCACTGAAATTTCACTCATAATTTATTACATATTGTTTAGAATTTTCCCCTCACAAAAGACTAAAGCTTATTACCATTAAGCCGATTACAACTCAAAATAATCTGATAGGACAGAGTGGAACTGGGCCTAGCATTTCAGAGACTGTAATTCTTCACAGAAGAAACTGGGGTGTAGTGGTTATGAATTGGTCTGTGATATGCATGATGGGTGGTTCAAAACCACCAGCAACTCTCTGGGAGAAAGACTGGGCTTTCTACTCTTATAAACAATTAAGAGTCTCAGAAAACCAAACCCATAGGAGATCACTATGATTCAGCATTGACAATGGGGATGAGTTTGGTTTGGGTTTGGAATTTGTTACAGATTCTAAGTGTTCCTTGTTTCTACTGGTGGGTATAAACAGCTAACCTTTTAGTTAATAGCCCAGTACTCAAACCACAGTGCCACCAGTTCTCCTTATTTGTCCTCATAATTTCTCCCTGTGTTAGGCTGAATTCTGTACAAAAGCAAAACCAGTAATGCTTATATGGGTATGTATATAAAAAGATTTATATACTTGTAGACTCAGGTCAGCCCATTCTGATTTAAGGTTGTGGGTCAGATGGTAAGCTGCAGAGGCTGATGAACCAGGAAGCAGGAAGACTACAGATACAGAGTCCTGAATTTTGAAAGCACAAGGTTTCTAGGGGCACAATCATCACTTATAAACTATATGAGAGACTTCAGAAAGTTCATAGAAAAATTGCATTATCTTTTCACTAGAAATTTTCAACAACTTTATCATTTCTAGTCTACAGAGCTAAGTAGAATTTATAATTCCCATTGTAAAGAGTTCATAGTCTCAGAAAAAAGGCAACATAGTATTTACACACACTCATTTGTGAAGCAGAGTCTACCAACCAAGCCAAAACCAAAGTAACTCCCATTGAGTCCATTCTGATGCATAGCAACTGTATAGGTTATGGTAGAACTGCCCTTGTGGGTTTTGAAACTGTACATCTTTATAGGAGTAGAAAATTGAAGGGGTTTTTGAACTCTAACGTCGTGATTAGCAGCTTAACATATAGAGCTCCTTTTAGCCTATCAAGGAACACTGGTTTTGGCTTCATCGGGGAGGTAGCATTCAAATGGATTCTTGACTGATAAGGAGCTTGTTAAATAGGCAAAAGAAGAGTATTTGGTTTAAATATTATGTATTTTATGATGTCAAAGAATATTGACAGTACCATGGACCAACAAAAGAACAAACAGACCTTGTTTTGGAAGTTGTAAGGACAGAATGCTCCTTAGATGCGAGAATGGCAAGACACTGTCTCACTGACTTTAACCATGTTATCAGGAGAGACAAGATTTTGGAAAAGGACACGATGCTTAATAAAGTGATAAAGGGCAGTGAAAAAGAGGAAGATCCTTCTTAAGATGGATTGTGAGGATGTCATGGAACCGAGTGGTGTTTTGTTCTACATAGGATCACCACGAGTCAGAACTGACTCGATGGCACTCAATGACAGCATGTTATGATCAAAGTATATAGTGTCTATGTAGTTTAACAGAGAGTAATTTAAATAAAAGCTAAGGTAATTTAAGGGGAGAAGTTCTGAAGCCAGATCCTTAGGTTGATATTCCAAGCTCTGTCTCTTACTATATGTGACCTTGGGCATATTACTTGTCTGTGGTTCAGTATTCCTATTTGTAATGGAAATGATCATTGTAAGTAACTCAAAGAATTACAGTTAGAGTTGAATAATTTAGAAAACTGCCTGACATGTAGGAAAATCTTAGTAAGTATCTTGTTGCTATAACTACCTGGAGAAAAATGCCAAGGTTTTAAATGTATTTGACTAGCTAGAATAGGGGCATGAGTAAACTGAAGGGATATTTTAAGGGTAAAATGATCAGGACTTCAGAATACTTACCAATTTGATATAACCAGAAGTTTCAGCAAAAATGCTATGAGGAATATAAAACCAATTTTGATGTTTATTTAGCACAATTTTATAACTTGTAAATTTAATAGAAGTTCAATTTTATAATTTGTGGGTTTTTTTCCCTTTCTTCCAGAGCATTACAGCTATAGCTGTTGGACTAGAAGGTGTAATAATAAAAGCTGTGTATGATGCATTAAGGTATTGAAGACTTTTTAATTTAAATTAAATACTTGGAATATAAACAAGGAAAAGTGACTGAAAATGGGACGGAAGAAAATACAAATCACACGCATAATGGATGAAAGGAACCGACAGGTAAACGAACATTTAAAGGAATATTTTAAATTTGTATATGCACAAACAAACCAACTAAACTCACTGCCATTGAGTAATGTCAAGTCATATATACGCTATAAGGCAGGATACAGCTGCCTATGAGAGTTTCTGAGACTCTTACTCTTTGATTTTCAAGTGCTGAGCTTGCAGTTTAGCAGCCCAGTGTGTGCCACCAGCATTCATATATAAATTTTACCTTATATCCATAAAGCCAAATGGTTGAAATTTTCTTAAATTTAATTTCAACTCTGAATTTATTTATGTCTAATTTAAAAATTTGAAATTTTAATAATCATGAAATAAATTGTTTTTCATGTGCTTTAATAAAGAAACTTAAATGACAAATCGTATATTAATTATAGACAGCATAGATATACAATGAGAATAAGAATAAATTTACTGTGATATCAACATACCAGCTATCGTGTATATTTATCATAATGTATGTTACCTTTAATACACCTGGCTACTTATTTGGTTGTTGGCCTACTGTGTATTGATCGTTATTTAAATTTAACCTCTATTTTCATAAATAAGTGGAAACTAGAGTTAGCTATAAATAGATGTTCTAGTTCTGGGGTTGGCAAACCATGGCTTATGAGCCATGTGCGAGCTTCGGTATATACAAAGGAGTATCCCCACCAAAGCAGAGAAAAGCTTCCCTGGGCAGAGCTGTGGTAGTATGCATTTTTCCTGCTAGGCGACCATCTAGCAACTTACTCTTAGTGTACCCAGTGTCATCACCTGGGAAGGTATTCTCTGGTCACAGTGAATTTTTTCATAAAAGCAGTTTCATTAGAACCTATTTTGTGTCCTGCTTGGGAAAAATGCCACAGAAACTGTTGTGTGATATTGAACACAGCTTACAAGGGCAGCGGTATGGAATGAACTCAAGTGTACAAGTGGTTTTCTAATTTCAAAAAAGGTGAAATATCAATTGGTGACAAACCTCATTCTGGATGTCCGTCAACTTGCCCAACATACGGAAATGTTGACAAAATTTGTGCATTTGTACTCAAAGACTGACGATGGACCATTGAAAATATGGGGAAGTTACACGGAGTATCTTGGAGCTCTGTTCAGTGAATTTTAATGGACGATTTGGGAGTGCAAAGGGTTGCTGCAAAATTTGTGCGTTGGGTTCTGGCTGATCAGGAAAAAGTGCATTGATGGGAAACGTGCTGTGCTTTGAAAGAACAGCTGTGAAGCAACCCAGACTTTCCCCAAGGTCATTACTGGTGACGGGACGTGGTGCTATTCTTACAACCCTGAAAGCAAACATTAATCAATCAAGCTACCTTGATCCAAAATATGTTCCTGAAGTGAAATCAAAGATCAAGACAATGCTCAAATTTCTTTTTCAAATATGAGGAGGATAGCACATTTGGAGTTCATTCCACCAGGTCAGACTGTTAATCAAGCTTTCTATTTAGAGGTTCTGAAAAGATTACATAACAGTGTGTTACAAAAAATGCCTGATTTGTGGCAGACTGGACTGGTTTTGCTTACCACGACAATGCACCTGCTCACACAGCCATCTCAGTGTGCCAGTTTTGTGGCAAAAATCATCGTGCTTCTCCTGCCCTGTGCACCTGACTCATCTTACCTCACACTGTGCAACTTCTTTTTGTTTCTGCGAATGAAGAGGGACATAAAGAGACAGTATTTGACAGTGCAGAAGAGGTGAAGAAAGAAAAAGATGGAGGTGCTGTCAGACACCCAAAAAGATGAGTTTGAAAAATGTTTCCATGAATGGAATTGCAGATTTGACAAATGTATTATTAAGTGTAATGGAGAGTACTTTGAAAGTGATGTTTGTTTTATTAAAAAAATGCAAATATATAGCTTTTAAAAAATTTCTGATTTTTATTGGGAACCTCCTCAAACATGTGGCTCTGAAGTAAAATAGAAAATGAAAATGAAAATATCATAGTTTCACTTAAAGGATATTATTCAGATAGTGGTGATTTCATTTGTAAAAATATATTTATGGCTCTCGAATAATTTTTAAATTGTGTGAGGGTGAGGATTGGCTCTTCTGTCTCAAAGTTAGCCAACACCTGTTCTAGTTAGTTAAAATTACTGGTTAGCCAGCAATTAATGCGAAATAGTTTTTAGAACTCTTACTATCACAATTATTTAAAAAATATTTACATGTGTATGTCAGCTTTAATTAATAAATGATATTGAATTATCAGGGTTAACCAGCCCTTAACACATCATCACAGGTCCGTTAGGTGCAATTGTACAGCGATAATAACTAAAGATTATAGTACAGTCATAGAGAGCATGAAAGAGAGAAGAGAGATTGAAGTAATGGAGTCAGACACGTTTCGTGGTAGCATGCTCACCTTAGCCCCACTTGGTGGTCCACGTGGAAAGAGAGATCTTCATTGCTAACCAAGGCTTTTATATTCTCTGGGGACGTGCAAGCACCTAATTACAGAAGAAGACATACGTCACAGGAAAGGGTTGTACTATAAGTAATACAGTAATGGAAGGGGGGTGATTTAGGGGTATCCATGTGATAGGAAGAGGAGGGGTTGGGGGTGTACATGTGACAAGATTGGCGGATCCTAGATTCAGGATGGCAACATAACTTTGGATGTCACTGAGCCAGTTTGACCTGTTCTCTGACTCACTATAGAAATCATTATCAGTAGGGTGTAAACCCATCCTGCAGGTACCAAACTGATGGCCACAAGCCATTAGGGAGAAGTAGCCCATTGTCCTTAACAGCAGGGAGTGGGCCCTACCTCTGGTGGGACCAGACAGTAGTCTGACAGCTGACTGCCTTCAGGCAGGTCACTTGACAATCATTTACCACAAGCTGCAAGCAGTGTCCTAAGTGTAACATATATTTGGGGGAGATGATTTGGGAGAAATCTCTCTTGCCCACACTGAATGTAATTTTCATTACCAGTAACAATAACTCTTATAAATGAAGGATAATTGTCATTATGCTAATGTACTAAAAGGCTAGAAGTTGTTTGAGTTAAAAGCAGAGGTTGACAAATGTAGCCCACAGATTGTTGTTTTTTGTTCATCTAATAAACATTAGAACACAGCCATGTCCATTCTTTTAAATATTTCTATGGCTACTTTTACACTACACTAATAAAGTTGAGTACTTGCAACAGAGTCTCTTGAGCTCACAGTACTTGAACATGTACTCTCTGGCTTTTTAATAAAATGTTTGCCAACCTATGATTTTGACTAAATGGAAAAATTATTGCAGATCAAATAATATTCAAGGTATGTAAAGAGGAGAGATGCTTTCTTTGGAAAGTTTATATCGGTGAAGTTTTAAGAGCACATAGCTTATGGAACTGTATCAGGAATAAATAACACATGAACAAGGGTGTATCAGAAAGTTCATGGAAAATGGAATTAAAAGATAATGTAATTTTTCCACAAACTTTTTAAAACCACCTTGTATTTTACAAAGTCTTTGTTCACACAGATATCATTGGAGTTTAAAAACAATTGAGTAGCTGGTGGAGACATTACTGGGAATGATTATTTCTCTTTGTAGAAAAATATCTTAAAATGCCTTGTTTTGAACTCATGTACATTCCTCAACAAAAGTGTAAATTTACTTATGACCCATTATAAAGAAAGTAATAGGGAAAATTGATAAAATAATGAAAAGAATGATTTTTCCCTTTATGCATTATAGAGTTGTCACATGTAGAGGATGCATCTTGGCCTGTTCCATGAACAAATACATTATAAATGTAAAATAGGGCTTGCTAGGGAATAATATGCAAACAGAGAGGAGACTGAGCACTTCAAAAATTCCTGAGCCATCCTCATCCCCTAGAGTCATGGTTAAATTAGGTATAAGTAGGCTGGAACAGGGGGCAGAAATGAGAAGCTGATACCATGGGCTTAAGTGGAGAGCAAATGTTTTGAGAGTGATGAGGTCAATGAATGTACAAATGTGCTTTGCACAATTGATGTATGTATGGATAGTGATAAGAGTGTATGAGCCCCTAATAAAATGATTTTTTAAAGTAGGCTGGCACAGTGTGTAATGGTCAACACCCTAGGTGTTAGTGAGATGAATTGGACTGGTATTGGCCATTTGAATCAGGCAGTCTTTGGTTTCATATAGGGGGAATGACATGATCAAGAGAAATGGTGTTGCATCCTTTGTCAAAAAAGACATTTCAGATCTAACTTGAAGTATAATGCTGTCTGTGATAGGATTATACCCATTTTTACATAAAGGAAATCCAATCTATACACTTATTACTCAAATTTATGCATCAACCACAAAAGCTAGTGTTTCCAAAATTGAAGGATTCAACCAATGACTTCAGACTGATTGATCAAACATGCAGGCAAGACACATGATAATTATTGGTAATTGGTATGCAAAATTTGGGGAAAAAGAAGGAACAGTAGTTGGAAAAAAATACACTGGTACAGATAGGAACTGGAAACACAGGGAATCCAGGGCAGATGATCCTTTCGGACCGGTGCTGTGAGTGGTGATACTGGGAGGGAGGAGAAAGGGTGGGGTGGAAAGGGGGAACCGATTACAAGGATCTACATATAACCTCCTCCCTGGGGGACGGACAACAGAAAAGTGGGTGAAGGGAGATGTCGGACAGGGAAAGATAATGACAAAATAATAATTTATAAATTATCAAGGGTTCATGAGGGGCGGGGAGGGGAAAATTGAGCTGATGCCAGGGGTTTAAGTGGAGAGCAAAAGTTTTGAGAATGATGAGGGCAATGAATGTACAAATGTGCTTTACGCAATTGATGTATGTATGGTGATAAGAGCTGTATGAGTCCCTAATAAAATGATTTTTAAAAATAGCCTTGGTGATAGAAATGAAGCTGGAGATCTTGTGATAGAATTTTGTGAGACCAACAACTCATCATCGCAATACCATTTTTTAGCAGCACAGAAGAAAACTGTACACATGGACTTCTCCAGATAGAATACATAGAAATAAAATTGACTA